ACTTGATGTTAAAATAAGGTGCATAATTCTATATATAAAGGATGCATTGTTTAGTAGTATTTCATTGTTGGAAGGCAAAGATGGACAAGAGTGTTGGAATCATTGAAAGAATTGTGCTACTTATCATCTTTCTATTGATGATTCTATACATCCTGAATTGATAGTTAAGCCAATTATTTTATATGTGGTAAAAAGAAAGAATTGCTATCATACTTTTGTATGATCAATGCCAACATGGATGATATATGGCATGTTTGATACCACCTCTTTTGACTCTTCATTCAAAAAAGTGGATTTGTCTTCATTGTAGGAAGTCTTTTAACTATGCTTTATTTCTTAATAATAATTGAAGATTTCTTCTATGGTATTTGTTACATATTTTGGTGGTTTAGTTGCTACAATATTAGTTTAGAGAAGTAAAATTTGACAATAATATCATTGTAGCATTCATTTTCAAGAAGAGGTGTTTTTTAGTCCTAATTGACTAGATGGGCTTTTAGTCAAGTAGGAGGAGGGCACTTGAGAGTATATAAGATGTGCAGTTGTATTTGGTTTAAATTACATACTTTGTGATTAGTTTGAGGTACTTGATGTGTTGTATATAATGATCTTTGTTTACATAATAATTATCATGTGATATGACATTAGGTGCCAAATTCCATCAAATATATGTAGTTTAATTTAATTAGTGGTTTTTTCTTATCTACTGATAGTTTTTTTGTTAATTGACTTTGTTCATATCAATTAGGTTTTGAATACTTAAATAAGAAAAAATCCTCGACTTGACATGCTTGTCAAATCAAGTCTTATGAGTAATTTTGAGAATGAAAGAACTTATTGTAAAGATTTTCTTGACCATAGTATTTTAGCCATTTTATTAAACCTTAGGATTTTTCTTATTTTCATACTTGTACTCTTGGATTCTTCCTTTGTGAAGTGAAAGATAGTTTGACTTTGTTTTGTATAGATTTCTAATCTTTCCTTGAAAGTATGTTGGATGTGCATTTATATTTGATTTAAATTACATACTTTATAATTGATTTGTTGCCCTTGATATATTGAATATAACAATATTTGTATATACAACATAGAGATTATAGGAATTTTATCAAGAATTGCACCACTTTAGGTAGTTCATGCAATTATACCAAATAAATAACTAAAAATTATTCTTATATATAATTTGGATGATACTAAATAAAATTTTTGAAGATTCATCAATCAAATATAATTTTTTTATTCTACATTAATTTTTTAATTATTACTTTCAATCATCTCAAGTTAGTATTATTAAAGCTTTATAAATAAAATTTATTTATTTAAATTTTATTTATTACTAGAATAAAAAGATCTTATATTAAATAATTTTAATAAATATTTTTGATAGAATTTTGATTTATACATAAAAAATATGATATAATTTATAAAATAATCAACAAAGTTTAAATTCTATTGGATAAAAATCAATTTGTATGAATATATGCATTAAAATTTTGATAATTAGAATTGTTTAATTTAAAAAAAATGTTCTATTCATTATTTGATTTTTTTATACATTATAATATGATGTAAAGAAATTAGTGTTTAATTTGGTTGATTCTTAAATTTATATTCAAATTATTGATTATACTATTAAAAATAATTAGATTTTTAAATTTTAATAAAAAAAGTCGAATATTTTTTCTTTAATGTTTTATATTTTTCTTCTAAATATGTCTATTAATTTAGATATACAATATATAATGAAAGATATTCAAATAAAAAATATGTAATTTAAAGTTTTTACAACATAAAAAAAAATTTTAATGCTAAGTAGGAAGAGATTGTTTGTATTGTAAAAAATCAAAACATATTTTTTAATATTGGCCTAAATACAAACAAAACTACAAAGTAAGAAGTACAACTTTAAAAAAAATAACATGTAAAATAAATCTAATAATTTGAGAGATTGTAAGGCTGGATTCTTGTACTAAATCCTCTTATAAAGGTCTTATTTTATTTTTAAAAAACAAATAATTATTATTTAGCTTTAGATTTAATATATTAATTTTATATTTATTTTATTAGATTTTTTCTTTTTACTTGTTTTATGATAAAATAGTACTGAATGTCATAAAAAATTTACTAAAATAAATTTAAATATATATATATAGAAATTATATCTAAATAATATTTTATTTAATAATATATTATTACTAAAATCCTATTAATATAAAATATTATAAAATATCATAAAAAATATGGTTTCATTTTTATCTGATAAAATTTCTAATTGATGTAATTATTTTAAAATTATTCTATTAATATTAGGTTATTTTTAAAATTATTTAATCTTATCATTTTTGCACCAACAAGTTGTGAAGGTAAAATTCACCTTTCAATCTAAATTAAAAGATGAACTTTATTAAGAATTTCTTATAATTGGTGGAATAAAGTGAAGAATAAAAATATCAAGAACAAAAGAAGAATAAATACAAAATAAGTGAAATGAGTGAAATAAAGTAATTACATACTTTAAAACTTGGTCATAATTTGCTCATTGAGTTTTTATTAATGAAAAAATAAAAAAAAATAGTATATTTTTAAATTTTTTTTATCTTTTAAATGACATAAAAAATATAAATCCAAATTATTATAAATTAGTTATAAAAGTTTAAAAATAGTAAGTAGATAATTAATAAGCTAAGTAAATATATTTTATCTCAAGAATAACTTGCATATTAATCAAGGATTTGAGTCTCACTAAGGTTTACATATAATATATATAGGTCTTCTAGAGAGGTCCCAAGGCCTTTGTCTTATCCTTCTGACTATATCCTCAATGCTACAATTCATTTGGAACTTATGCACCTCCCATTCTACAAAAACTTTACTAGTTGGTAGTCCTCATATTTTCTATTAGCAAGTTTAATTCTTTTATATTTTTTACTTTACCATGGTGTTGAAAAACATCTACTTAATAAAAGAATGATATTTGGCCTTCAAATCTTGCTCAATTTTTTCATAATATCTCCCAAGGTGGTAAAACTTAATTTTATCAAAATCTTATAAATTTCTCTAAAAATTCTTAAAATATTATAAATAAATTATAAATGCATATATTTTTTATAAATCTAATATTAATCTATGACTATATTTTTTTATCTTGTTGATTTTTTATAATAATAAAATTAATTTAAACATATATATATATATATATATATATATATATATATATTTTCTACATAAATAACTAAATAGACATGAAGTTCTTTTTTATGCTTCTTTTAACTACTAACTAATAGTAATAGGTTTTCTTTTCTAATTAATAGATATAGATAGAGGGCCAATATAGAAATTGATCTAAATAACTAACCATTAATATTTAATAATAGGTAAAAATACTTAACCAACTAAAATATTCTTCTCTTGGACTTACTAAAATTTTATTTTTGTAAATTTTTATTATAAGACCTTTATAACTTGTAAATACTTTTAAATTCTAATAAATATCTAAACAGTTAAAAAAAAAATCCTAATATTTTTATAATTTAATGGCTTAAAACCATATTTTTAATCAATTCACTTATTAAGATTGATTGGTGGGATTCACACGTAACAACCATCTAAGACTATTTATAAAAATAGGGAGAACCTAACTCTTATCATTGACATCATGTATATAAAAAGAAGTTATCAAATTAGATACTACTAAAAATATTAGATTGAAATCTTAATGTTCATTTAAATAGTGATATTTCTTTTTCAAATAAATTATATTATATATTTTATTATTAAATTTTGGAAATTATAAATATTACATCTCTAAATGATATTTCTATATTCCAATTAATATTTGCAATGATTGTTGGAAGGGAGGGGGTGTAAATTAATCCTTTTTATGGTCATCAAGAGAAAATGCCCCAATTTAGATCTCTGATGGTAGAATCCTTATAAAAAAATTTGGTGTACCAAAGCTATGCCTCATAACTTGTCACAATTTTAGGCATCAACATCTTGGTACATAAGCCATCTTTTTATCCATACTTGGTAGATTGAATTTCTCCAAAATCAACATCTACTTGTACTCTCATATTGCATAGCTACTCTTCATCTTTATCACCTATTATTTTATCATGCACCTTGGCTAAACTTTTATTCGTCATTGATGTTCTCATAATAGCTACAACTATAGCAACTAAGGCCCAACTCTCACTTCTATTGCAACAAAGGTTTTTTGTGGACTCTTCTTCTTGCACTAGTTCGTGCTCTTTTTAGAAAGAAGGTTTCTACCTTCTTGCTAAAGTATGTCATTCACAATGTGGCAACAAGGGACATAGAGGTGAAGTTGGTCATTTGAACAAAGATTTTTTTATTTTTTTATTTTGTATATATATATATATAGTTAGTGGCAACAAGGAGGATATTATATATATCTTTAGATAGAAGTTTTTTAAGTAATGAGTTTAAAAAAAACTATCTAATTTTATTAATGTGTTTTCTAAATAAAATTGAGAATACTTGACATATTCAAAACCTTCTTACCAGCCTCATCAATAATATTAACTTAATCCTCATTACAAAAAAAATATTCTGCAACTTATTATAAAACTTTAAAGCTAGATAATAATCTGATTTTTTTTTGAGATGCGAACATTCAAAGTGATCCAGTAACCACTCTCAATCACCCCATGGCTAGCTTTGGGATGATGATGATGTAAAGGTACATACGTCCTTTTAACAAAAAAAATCGTTTTAAAATCCATTACTAATTAAACTTTTTTTTTAAACAAAAATATATACTGAAGAGTCAACCTACCTAGTACTTCAAAGTGATAATAAAGAGAAAAGAGATAAAGAGAAAACTGCATTTAAACTTCTACAGTTTTTAGACACAAAGAATTCCAAAACCAAAATGAGCTGATTCAAAAAGAGAGACAGCGTCTGTTTTGCTCAGAATATCTGCCCGAGAGCGGGGGCAGGAGCTGCCCGGGAGGAATTAGGGTTGGGGGAGTCGGGAGGTGCAAGAAGGCCACGGAGCTGCATAGTAGCCCTCTTTTCCAAGCGCCATCGGTCGAGCCCCCTCGCCTAGACCACTCCCACGCTCCTCTGCCGCGCCAACCATGGCTGTCGCGCAACCTGAAGTCAAGCTTTTCGGGCGCTGGTCGTTCGACGACATCGAGGTTCGTTTTTTTCCCACCACTTCAGCCTGTCTTCACGTTCTCTGCCTAACTGTTTTGTGGAACGCGGGGTTTAGGGTTTTTCGGTGGCAAGGTTTTGAGGGTTTCGTGATGGAGTGGTGCGCAATTGGGACTCGGTCGCGATCTGCGATGCGGTCTGCATATGATGGGAGTGTGTTAGGGCGAGCTGACGGTTTGGAGTCGCGTTGTTTGTGTCGGGTGTGCAGATTAACGATATCTCTCTGGCGGATTACATTGCCGTGTCGGTGGACAAGCATGCCACCTTCGTGCCCCACACCGCCGGGCGGTACTCCGTGAAGCGTTTCAGGAAGGCGCAATGCCCCATCGTTGAGAGGTTGACGAACTCCCTGATGATGCACGGGCGCAACAACGGGAAGAAGTTGATGGCGGTGCGCATCGTGAAGCACGCGATGGAGATCATCCACCTGCTGACGGACCAGAACCCCATCCAGGTCATCGTGGATGCCATCATCAACAGGTAGGTTATCTCGAACACTTGTTTAGCTGCATATTGGGGGGAGAGGCGGGGGATGGGCGCATGGGCGGGAGGAGAGGTTGCAACAGGAATTTAGGGTTATGCGGGATGATGTGGGGCTCGGGAGCTGAGAGGTCGCGGTGGGAATGGGTACAGTGGTCCTCGTGAAGACGCAACGCGTATCGGATCCGCTGGAGTGATCAGGAGGCAGGCCGTGGATATTTCTCCATTGAGGAGGGTGAACCAGGCGATCTACTTGCTGACGACGGGTGCGCGAGAGTCGGCGTTCAGGAACATCAAGACGATCGCGGAGTGCTTGGCGGACGAGTTGATAAACGCGGCCAAGGGTTCGTCGAACAGGTAGGAGGTGTTGGGATTGGGGCGAGGTGTGTGAGGGGTGGGATGCATGGAGGGAATTGAGTGATATGGTGGATAGTGAATGGATTTTGTGGTGGAATGGAAAAGAAATGGGATGTTGAGGGGATTGACATAGCGTGGTTGGTTGTGACAGCTACGCCATCAAGAAGAAGGACGAGATCGAGCGTGTGGCCAAAGCCAATCGTTAAGCTAGTATCAGGATGGTGGTTGCTTATAAAAGTAGTGTTTCATTACACAACGGTGTCTATAAATTTTTGGTGGTTTGATTTGACTACTCATATTTTGATTATTCAAGTTGTGGTTCGCCACATATGTTTCCTCCAGATATTTTTGTTTTATAAGGTGTTGTGCAGATTTGGGGCATCATCTGTGGCAATTTAAGTAATATTTGCTTGGTTTGTCTTGACCTGCAATGTGTATGTACCGTTTAAATTTGGTCATTGTGGACTGGAGCTGAAATACAATCCAGTGTAGGAATTCCGAATTCACTAGTTTAATTTTTTTCTTTACGAGTGGTTTTGCGAATGTATTTTTCCTGCGATTGTCTGCCTCATTTTTAAATCATGTTCCCTCATGCCATGTTTTTCTTTTCTCGTTTTTGATGTTGATCTTTCCACTTACATTTTCTAGCTATGGCACGCATGAAAATAGCGTAAAAAGTATCTTCAATGTATGACAAATCGCTGCTTGATCATGATAGTTCCATATTATACAGAGCGCTTTACGTGCGCTGTTATCCGTGCAACCACAACAGCCCGGAAAGACAAAACCAGGGTGACACGCTCATATCCCACTTACCGACCGAATTTAAGGGGTGAAAGGTATTTTACACGTTTACACCCTTGCGTGAGTATTTCCATGTGCAATTTTCTCGTCAAGTGCAACTGACAAGTAAGCTTGGACGCTAATACTGGCGGGAAGTATTGCTAATCTACACCCACCTACCAACAGTGAATTATTGTTCTGGTTTCAAATATTCAAATAGCTTTTAGTAGTGAGCTGCACACGCTTATTTTCATAATACCATTCGGTTGCGCATTGAATGTATATACTTTCTGCGGGTTCGTCAGTATAACATGAACCAATTGCTCCTACTCATCCCGGAAACAAAATTGGGCTAACTGTAAAGGTTACAAGAGATTCTTACTTTTTAAAATCATAACAGAGTGACAAGTTAATTTTGACGTTGATTGCATGGAATAGCATGCCAGAAAGTTTTTACTCCATTCTAAAGTACGATCAAGATTGTTCAGATTGAATATTGCCAGGAATTTGCAAGTTTCAGGCCATTGCTCAAATGATCAAAAACATGGGAGACTGATCCTGTAACTCCGGTTATGTATAAGTCATACAAAGCCCAAAAATATCTGAATAATCAGAGACGACCTCCAATTTCACGGAATACTTCATCACCGCGCTCTTCTTCTCCATTTGCGTCGTCGTCATCGTCCTCCTCTTCCTCTTCCTCTTCATCTAATTCGTCCTCTTCATCTCCATCTTCCATGCGACGCGGAGCGCTCAGAACCACGTTTTGACCTTTAGAATCGTCAAGGTCTTTCTGCAACCGAGCCATATTTGCTTCCCGCCGTTTGGCCTCGACTTGAGCTTTTTCAGCTTTCCGCTTCTCGAGATCAGGCCTAAGTAGGAAAGCAAAGTTGGAGTTCAAAACAAGGGAAAAAAGGAAAAAAGGAAAATCTGCACGAAAGGTAATAAAATGAACAAACATCCTGCACTAGACAAATGGACTTTTTCTAGTGCCTCATGAGAAAGATTTCCTTGAGCTATTCACATGAAGTTTAAGTGTTCCTTCTTAAAACTTGTACTGTCAACCCTTCTTGCCATCTGAAGTTGGTGTCCTGTGTACACTCTGCTGGTGAGGAACTTCCTCGTATCCCAGTAGATAGCAGAACTTTCAGTAACGACACTGAATGCAATAGCAACCGACCCATCAAGATTAGAACAAACATTGTAACCAGCTTGGTACACGTACCTGTAAGACTCCATGTACTCATCAGCACACTTGTCCACTTGGTGGAAGAAATCCTCGATACCTTCCCCTGTCACAGCTGAAACTCCGGCATTGCTAAGATTTTTGTAAAACTCATCAAGAACCAAGCAAAGACTGCGGCTCAGACTCGAGGAATAAGACGAATCGCCCTCCACAGCAGCTTGAAAAGCCTCAAAGTCATCCATCCACTGCAGTAGACAAGCGCACAAATATTCAAGCAGCATTTTGAATGCCATTATCGAGGAACAGCTGTAAAAGTGATCCCGACCAAACTATAAACATGCACAACAAAATTTTATGAGGGCATCGAATTACGATTAGAGTACAGCAACATTGAAGTCCTCGTAATGTCCTATATATTTATCTGGTTCAGGGTTAATTTGTACCTCTACGGCAAACTGATGTTTCACAACATCAACCTTGTTGAACGCCAAAAGTAGTGGAAGCCGTGTCTTATACAGTATACCACATGCGTAAAGCATGTTACTCATAAAAGTCACCGGGTTCACGGATCGTGGTGTGTCAACGACGTAAGTTACAACTGTTGGGAAACAAGATGCGAAAGCTTCAATAACTATCGCACCAGAGGCCGACCACGTGAAAATTTCGATCTGTCCAGGGGTATCCACAAGTACATAATCTAGATCGGCCGCCCGTGCCTCTACCAATCCCACAACCTGGCACCCCAAACGCTTGTCAATATCATCCTCATTGTTTTCAGACATCATTGAGGGCAAATTCTGCCAAAGACAAAATTACAAGCACCAAACAACACAGTTTCGAGCCACAAGAAGATATCCGAAATGAGTCGAACAATTTACCTCATCGAACTTAGTGGCAAATAGATTGAGAGATGTCAGGATTCCCCCATTGGGACCCAAGTGGTATTCCTTCATCACATTCTTATAGTTTATAGTATCACGGATATCAATACAAGAAGATATCCTTAATGAGTCGAACAATTTACCTCATCGAACTTAGTGGCAAATAGATTGAGAGATGTCAGGATTCCCCCATTGGGACCCAAGTGGTATTCCTTCATCACATTCTTATAGTTTACAGTATCACGGATATCAATGTTTGCACTGAAAGGTAGAGACATCACTGCAGGGTCAAGGTTCAATACGTAGCCTCTGCTTTTGGAGGTTGATAGATGTGATACCAGCCGCTGCATCAAAGTCGTCTTTCCACTACCTACATACCCGGTTGCAAACTCAAATCAATAGTCATTTCTGAGCTCACAATAAGTAATTGTGGCAGGTCTAGGAATTGGGCGTTTCTTTGGCGAGCACGAGAGAAGACTCCAAACCAGGGCTGGGGCTTTGAAGGAACATGTTGCAAAAGTGGGCACAAGGAGTACACTACTGCCTCTTCCATGAGGCAAAATCATATATCAACACACAAGCTCATGCAGCGAGTATCTTTTGAAAACAAAGAGACTGACGCCCAACTATTCAAAACAAAGAACTTCAGTGAAGAGCGCACCTGCCATCCCGATGACAATGATCACAACCGGCTTTTTGTGCACCATATTACCGGGGGCTGAGCTAGCACTACTACTGGATGCCTCTTCAGAATCGTCAGCTGCTTTGCCTTGTAACTTCCCTTCTGCAGTATCGTCCATTCTAAATCCCTGCAAGGACACGCTCAATACGTCTCAAAGACCCAACCAGGAAGACCGCGCCGACTAACCATTCCCACTAACAGCACTACCGTTGTCCTACGACAGACATAATCACGGCAATCGATACTTCTATCAAAACACGATTCCGCAAGCACCGATCAATGTCATCGACAACAGCAAACCCTAAACCTCAACCAGCCAAAACCCCTCCATCCCAACAGTCATTCAAAGCTCCAACCTGGCCGACTAACCGTTCCCACTGGCAGCACTAGCGTTGCCCAATCACCACAAAATCCCCATAAAAGACGAACCCAACTGACGTGAATCAAAACTGCACCTGCGAAACAAAGGATGCAAAATTTGATGTTCTGAGCGATTACGTTTTCGTGAGACAATTGCCAGTCTTCGCTTCCGTGCCAGAAATAGTAAAAGCGACGCTCGAGATTATTGTCTTTAAGTACGCTATGAATTCGTGTAACTAGACAGATCGAGCTTCTCGATTCATGAAGGCGAAGTGAGAATCATGAAACCTCGTCAGTCAGGCCAACTGAACTGCCCTTCAAGCAATGAGAAGATAGTTAGGGTTCTGAAGATCACGGTTATGAGACCACCGTCTGCATCCCTGTGACCGTGAACGCGGTAGTAGGATTAAGTAACGAGCTAAGTAAGATGGACACCATGCCTCGAGTTGGGGTAAGAATGTAACATTTTATAATGTTCGGTAGTCTTAATTGGCATAAACATATCACAACTACAATTTTTATTTTAAAAAATTCAAACTTGGAGGTTCTATTGAACTTAGATGCAAAGTTTTAAATAAAGAAATAGGATTGTAGGTATACACATAAATCACATATACAATAATAAGTGGAGATTTCCATATCTTACAGATGTATTTTTTTTTCATTCATAAAAAATATTAATAATGATATGATATGATATTAGAATATCAAAAGATATATTTTGGAAGCGTGTATGTTTATATATATATATATATGTATATAATTTTAAAATATAATTAACATAATGAATATTTAATCTTACAAAATTGATGAAAAAAAAAAAAAAAAAAAAACATATACTTTACACTTGTCATAGTTTCAAAGATAAATGCATATATTTTTTTCAAGTAGATTCCACTAATTGTAGAAGATCTTTAATAAGAGATCTTGCATACTGATAAATAAACTTACCAATTAAGGTAAAATATTATTATTTTAAATTAATAAAAAAAATAAGATTACTAAGTTAATAAATTTTAATATTAACATAACAAAATAAGATGATTTGATCATTAGAGTGCCAATAAAATCTATCAAAAAAAATGCTATTTAAGAAATGTAATGATTAAATCTTCTTATAAATACAAAAATATAAAAAACATGGTTTAAAAGTAGTTTAGAAAATTTAACTTCTGTAACATAGTCTTATGACATATCTTATTAGTACGTGAAATATAAACTTACTTCAAAAGTATATAACTTGTTATATATAAGTTTGGTAATAAAATATCAAAATATATATTATTAATTTTTTTACAAATCACTGAATTAATTTACTAAAGCTGATCTGCGATATTTTAATCTGCTTGTAAAATTTTAAAATTTATTTCTTGTTTTTATATCATACCAAGTACTTTATGTTTGTTTTGATTTGTTTTGTGGCCTTTCACTTCTTTTCTTTGTATAAAGACTTTTACAACTTTGAGAAGAAAACATAATTTTGATGCAATAACACCTTATACACAAAATCTTTGTAAAATTCTACAAAGAGTATAAATATTTTAAATATTTTAAATTATTTTATTTAAATACACGTCTTTATAACAAATGTAACAAACTTGTTTGTATCAATTCAGTGCCAATAAATTTAGAATATATTTATAATTTTTTTTTAGTTACTAATTTATTTTTTAAACACCTTAATTTCTTGAAGTCTCTTTCTAGTCCTATCTATATTTTTTAAATAAACACATGTAGATATTGGACTGTATGTCATCTAAATAAACAGTTAGAATATTCTACTAAGCTTGTGTAAACAATCTCATGAATAATGTTTATTAATTTATCAAAATAGGCAAACAACACCTAATTCTAAAAATTATGCAATTTATTTTGTTTTGTAAGATTAATATGTTTTATTATCTCATATTTATATAAAATACATAAAATTTATAAATATTCTTTCTAAAAGATTTTGAACTTAAAACTTTGATTTGTGTTCTTTGCTTAAACAACAAACCACTTTTATTTCCCCCAATCCATCACAATTTTGCATTATAAAATATTTGTCATGCAAATAAACAAATCTTTATAACATTGGATTACTATAAATTTGGAGTTACAGCACAACAAAGTTTGCAGGCGTTGAGGATGTAAAATTGCATAATGTTGAAATTTGTCCAATTTATTCATCTCTATTTGCAATTAATCAACAACACTAACAAATCATCAAAAAAATACAAGAAAACAAAAGAAGAAAAAAATGGGTATAACGCATCGGTATAAACTCCACTGATGAGAACCGGACGCAACATGAGTCGAAACATGAGTCGAATTCACAACAAGTAGAGAAAAACAAAAACCAAGTCAAGTAATGTCAAAGTCCAAAAGAACAACAAGTAAAGTAAAAGTAAAAGTAAAAGGAAGTATTAGGACGGCCTTCATGGCCTGCATGCCCGTTGATTGTTCGTAGCGTCGAAGCGTCAACCCTAATTCTTGAATGGGAAGATGAATGCGGATTTATCCATGGATGAATTTATCTCCCGGAAGAGGCGGTTTACCACCGGGAGAGTCGGTAACCCAAGGGAGTCTGCCTTCAATTTGTAGCGATGACCAAGGGCTGGAGAAGAAACCGCGTTGGTAGGTGTTAAGCAGTCACTAAATGTGTGCAAAAACCCTGGAATCGTGCATCGACCATGCGTGCGCATCTTCCGTCGTTTTTGTCCGCGAAGTGGATGCGCAGGAATCTTTGCATTACATTCCCAATGCTTCCCCGCATAGTGTCTCGATGGCCGTGTGAATCATCTCTGTGGATAGGCTCCGACGACGATGGGCAAGCTCGATTTGGAGTTGAGTTGAATTGAGCTTTGTCGTCGCGTTTCGTGATTCCTGGCTTGGAAGCATCTGGTGCGGCGAATAATTATTTTTATTCTGTTTTGTTTTTGTTTTTGTTTTCTTGTTTTTTGAGGCAATCCTTGGACATGTCCTTGTTTTTGCGTGGTTAAGGGGTTGGAAGTGGTTTGTGGCAAGTAGAGAGACGAGCGATTCCGTGGAGTTAGGCGACGAGCATGTAGTTGAAGATTGTGGTACGCTGGCATTCGGTGTATGTATAGCATTCTCGGCTGGTTAAGTTGAAACGGGAGGTGTACACGTGACCATGGAGGCCCTTCGGTCGCGGTTGATGTCGTCGACGCCACAAGGGTTGTCCACGAGAGGCTGCGATGCTGCTGTTGTGCCTTTGCAGAGGAGTGTGAGATTGGTTGCCTCAAGGTCGCGTACGTCTCGCCTCTCGCCGTTTGCTTCCGTGAGCTGTGGATCTGGCGTTCCATCGTCCCGCAAAATATCGGGGTTAGCGATGGCAATGCAGGCAGGTCCTGGAGAAAATGCTACGTTTTCTACGAGTTCGACAGCAGGTTTGTGCTTCAAGTTTTGTTGCACTATTTCACTCTCAGCACGTGATTTGTCGTTGTCTGTTTGATTGCTTCTCGTGCTTGGCGTGCGGAGAGAACTGCGCGATCGGGATTGTCTATGTTTGCAAATTGAGAGAGTTCGAGACAATCATCAGGGTTTTCTTGATTATTACTGGAAACATTAGATCAAATGGTACAGCGATACTGTTCAATTATGAATTTATCTCCATCTTTCCTAAATGGTAGTAAACCAAGCGGTCTTATCAGTATCTGTAAATATATGGATCGCTTCGCTGGTTCACTCCATCGGCGTTAGTCTTCAAGAACTTGGAAATTACGTCATCCAAAAGCCATTTCCTTGGGATCCAGGTTTTACATTCCGAGAGTGGTGGCAAGAATCTGCGAGATTTTTCTTGACATGATTGAGAACATTAGATTCCAACATCTGTACAGGATGGTGGTTTTAGTTCTGTTTACCAATTTTGCGGTTCATTCTAGGGTGGATCTTGCAGACGTGGTAGCGACGTGGCGGAGCGCACAGGCGGTGTGCTTCGATGTTGATAGCACAGTTTGTGAGGACGAAGGAATTGATGAGCTAGCAGCCTTCTGCGGAGCAGGGGAAGCAGTTGCTGCATGGACGGCCAGGTCTGAGCTTCTTTCTCCCATTGTGTATGTATTCTTTCAAGTGGTACAAATGCTTCTCATCACTTTTCTTTCGTGCTATCGACCCAGGTAGACCACATGGCCCGCAATTTTTGCATGATTTGTCACAGGAACAGTACTGGTTTTGTGAAAAATGAATACTTATGAAGGTCTTTGCAACAATTCCTTCATCCAATTACAAAAGTGTAGGCACGGGCACGGTCTCAGCAGGATTTTTCTCTCGTGTGTTGATACCAATTCCGTAGCATCTTTGACCATATTTGTAGCTCTTTACTTAAAGACAATGATACTGTTCATCTTCAGGCCCATGTATTTGGATACTCTCTGTCCGAATGCTCTTGCATTATTAGAAAATTTATAATCAATCCTGAAATTATATGTTGATTCTGTTGTATGGCAGGGCTATGGGAGGTTCAGTGCCTTTTGAGGACGCACTTGCTGCTAGGCTTGCATTGTTTCGTCCCTCTGTACAAACTTTGGCAAAGTTTCTCGACACCAGACCTCCACGGTATGTTATCTCAGACCAAATCTACAATTGTATATTTAATTTAAACTATTGAATGCTAGATATTATTGATCTGTCTATACGTGCAAGATGAATCTGTCTTGAAGTATTGAGATGTGTAGTCAGGTTTGTGCTTCGAATGATCTGTCTCGATGCTAAACCAGCCGTACTTAAGATTTGAGCTCAAAAGTTGGGAGTAGGGTCGAAGTTTAGCTCTTATTTAGAGCTCACTAGTATTTTGCTTATAGTAAAATGTCTGATGATGCTGAGATGGATAACTTTGATCCTTCTGTGCAGCTTAAGCCAAGGCATACGGGAATTAGTATCTAAGTTGCACTCACGTGGAACCGATGTGTTTCTGGTGTCGGGGGGTTTTCGGCAGATGATTGCGGTAGTTCTTCTCTCCTTTGGTTTTTGTCTTCTGTTCACGGGCATGGATACCGATGAAGTTCATTGTTATTTGAGATGAAATGTTTATAAAAAATTGTATGCATTTTAAATGCTCTTTATCATACATTCACTTAATCTATAAATTTCATTTCTAATATTAATTCTTGGTTGAACATAGCCTGTAGCTGCTCAGTTGCACATTCCAAGCGACAATGTGTTCGCTAACTCGCTTCTCTTTGGCGACGATGGCGAATATACTGGTTTTGATGCTACAGAACCTACTTCAAGAAGTGGGGGCAAGGCCCAGGCTATAGAACAAATCAAAAAGGTAAACTATTATTTCATGAAATCCTACTTTTCACATTCTTGTTGTTTTCGATGGAAGAAGGATTTAAAATGTCGTCTCAAACCACTATTTCCCAATGAATGTGTTACTGGTTTTCAAGAACGGCAACATCAATTCCAGTGTTGAAATGCACAGTCATCTGGTTGACTGGATTCTTCACCTCTTTCTTGTGATTGTGTTGGATGATCACTGTAAAATCTGGTGTGAAGATACTTGCACTTTGTATTTCAAATTTTCCATGATGTTTCTGAACAATAATGCGTAATAGAAGTTTTCAACCGCCAATAAGTCATTTGAATGAACATTGTGTTTGTTGGACACATAGGAACACGGATATCAAACTTTGGTGATGATAGGAGATGGTGCTACAGACCTTGAGGCAAGATACCTTTTTCTCATCAGTATTCTTTACTTATCCTGAAGTCGAAAAAAGGACCGAAAAAGGACTTACATACTTCGATTGGGATATTACTCAAGATTATGAAATGCTATTAATTTTGGAGCTATTTCTATGCTGGACTTGTATTCATCTGGCAAATTCTTTCTTTGTTTAAGTGGTTCATTTGTCTTGGAATTTTTCAATAGTTCTTTTATTTATTTATTAATTAAATTTCATATTTGCTCAATACTTGTTGTTTTCATCGAGTCGGAAAGCAATAGTCCATATCATTTGTCATTCCCCACTGGTTTTCATCCAGCAATATTAGCGTAATCATTTACGCTCTGGTGTCTAAGCAAAGACTTTTTACTTGCAGGCCCGAAGACCTGGTGGTGCAGATCTTTTCATCTGCTACGGTGGTGTCGTGGCACGCCATAGTGTGGTGGCCGGAGCAGACTGGTTTGTTACTTCATTCCAAGATCTCATTGAGTCGCTCAACTGAAAACAATCATCACCTAAAGTAATCCTTTCTACCTGGAGCGTGGTCTGCTGTGTGCTAGACTAAAGCCTGATATCTGTTGACGATGTTACAAAAAATTCTAAAAATTCAAGATTTGGACGTGTGAGAAATTCTCAAAACCTTCATGTGCCACTTTCTTGAGCATATTTTTATACAGAATTTTGGTACATATTAGTCTGAGAGTTTTGCATGCTGTCTCAACCTGATTTTCGGTCGCATTATCATACTCATAGTTATGTTCTTCCTAATATATTGGTGTATTTTTTCTCGTCCAACAACTCCAGTTCTTATCTACCCCTCAGTTGCAAGTTGCCTATTAAGTACCGTCAGGCTTCAGACTGCAAATTCCGCCTCCAATCCAACTTTCGTCCAACCTTGTTGATTCAGGAAGCCCCATTTGAATTGAGGATGTTCATGGATGGTTGTGAGGACGTTCATGCGTGGTTTATCTTACAGAATGGGAATTGAAACAACTAACTAGAAATTGAATGTTTGAACTCGAAATAGCGAAAGAGAATTAGATGAAGCAATACTATTTTGTGAAGTTGACTCCATCACAACAGTTGTCTCTATTCGACTCCTTGAGTCATGGTCGCATGTCGTCATGGATTATCTATGCTCTAGAAGGTATTTTTTCAATTTATTTATGCATGTATTTCTGGAAAGCAGACAGCAAGCAAGTTGCGAAGGAGTACTGGAGTGTTTTACGAATC